CACACATGAAATCAGGGTTAACAAAGGAATGGGTGGCACCAGAATCAATTAAAACTTTGGCAAAACGGTGAAAAATAGGGATCGTACCTTCTACGACCTCTGAGGATTCTGGGACCTGTCGAGGTTCTAAGGAATAGACTCGAGCTGGCACTTTAGGTTTCGCCTCATTCCCCTTATTCGGTCCCGTATTGGTCTTTGGCGTGGTTTGAGTTCTCCTTCCGTCTTGCGTTATGAGTGGGCAAGTAGCAAGCTGGTGGTCTGCGCTTCCGCAACACAGACATTTGTCTCCTTTCTTCCAGCAATTGTCTTCAAAGTGATTCGGCTTTCCGCAGTACCCGCAAGGTCCACGAGACGTCGAACCTGAGCCCCTCTGGAAGTTTCCACCTTGGCCTCTCCCAATTGGGCCGCCCCTAGACTGAGCCCCTCTGCCGGAACCTGACTATCGCCCACCTCCAGCTCCGCGTCCAAATTTGGAGGGAGTACCTTTGTCCCCTTGTCCAGAACTACTTCCAGGAAAGCCCCGCTTCTTCGCCTGGAAGTTCCGGACTTGCAATCGAGCACTCTCTACCCTTTGGGCCTTTTCTATGATCTCGCTAAAAGCATTGATTTGAGCCACTGCGAGGTCCTTTTGAATTTTGACGTTCAAGCCCTGAATGAAACGCCTGATTCGCCGTTGCTCTGTCATGATCAGCTCAGGCGCAAATTTGGACAAACGGGTGAACTGACTCTCGTATTCCGCCACCGATTGAGTTCCTTGGCGGAGTCGGATGAACTCGTCTTCCTTCCTTTCCTGAACTAGAGGAGGGAAGAATTTCACGATGAATTCCCTGATGAAATTCACACAAGTCCTGGGCGTTTGTTCCCATTCCCATTTTTGTCGTATTACGTTCCACCAGGAACGGGCCGCCCCTTCGAATTGGAATACGGCAAAAGTCACCTGCCATTCATCGGTGTAGTGCAAAGTCGCAAAAATATCAACCATCTTCTCGAGCCATCGCTCGGCAACATCCGAATCAGGTCCCCCAATGAATTTGGGTGGAGCAAACTTTTGAAAACGTTCGAGAGCTCTGCCTTCGCTCTCGATGTGGTTACCAGGGTTTCCGGGGTTTCCAGGATTAGGGTTTGTATTCTGGCCTTGTTGCTGCACCACTTGTGCTAGCAAGTTAGTCATTTGCTGCATAGCGGCAGCGATTTGCACATTGGGGTCAGGGTTAGGTCCCGTAGAAGTTTCTCCAGTACCCCTATCCGCTGTGGGTTGTCTATTTTCGTGCCCACGTCCCCGTCCACTACGTGTTCCTTCCATACTTTATATGATCTAGGCAATAGTACTAAACCAATATAAAACAATGCATGTAAGTAACCCAAAACTTTTCCAAACAAATATATACATTCCAAACAAGGCAAACAACACACATATATACAAGCAGTCAAGTCAAGTACAAGCATGGACAATCCCCAAGGGAATGGTCTCATCAAAAGAAACATACACGTAGCTAATCTAGCCGTACAAAATGATTAGCTAAGGCCCTACTCCCTATCCGCCCTATATACAAGACCAAAACTATCCAAAACAAACCCTAGAAGTCGTAACCTAGACCGATGACGAGCTATGAGACCCACCCGACGGAGTGGATCTAACCCCAGCCTCAGGCCCCGCATAGGAGTTCTCGTCGCTCACGCTCTCGACCACCTCGGCGCAAAGGTTCAGGATCGAAGCGGCTCGATTCTTCACCTTTCGAGCTCGCTTGGGCTCGCGCTCATGGACTTCCCTCAGCTGAGTGCAGAGGTCATCAACCCTATCCTCTGCCTCAAGCACATCGTACTTCAGACCCTCAATGCGCTCAGTCTGTCTCTCATTGACCGCTCTAAGTTGAGTCACCTCGGCCTTCAGTCGAGCATTCTCTCCGACCAACTCCTTACGCTCCTTGTCCACTGCAAACACGAGAGCGTTCGAATAGGCATACTTATGTTTACACTCACACCGTCTGAGACGGTTAGACGGGTTCCAGCGCACGACGGCCCCTCCTGGCCGTATTTGGTACGGGATCACTGGGAGTACTCCACGAGGTCTCTCGCCCGGAGGACTATCACTAGGCTCACCCTGTCCAGCCATCCTACACCAAAAGAGCAATTAACCATAAATAATCTTAAAGGCCATAAACAATAAACCCTCAAATCAAGCATTCCTATAACACCCAAGCTAATTCAAACCTAGACTCTGATACCACCCGTGACAGCATCACCTTCCCCTAAGGCGAACCAAAGGGGTTAGCGGACTGCCTGCCCAACTCTCGTCAGGACTAACGGTGCAGTTTAGAGCGATCTATTGCGTTCCGGAACTTATAACGCGCGTAAACAAGTCAAAATGGCAAAATAACCCAAAATAAGAAAATGAAATCCGGAGTCGGCCATGAATAGTAACGACCCGTCAGAACCCAACCAAACATTGAAACACATATACACTTGACATTTTGCAATTACAAACCACAATGGCATACAAAAGTAATCCAAAAGTTACTACATGTTTGGTTTGCCAAATGAAAGTGAAAACTGCCCTAAGATACATTTAGGGTTTCACTTCATATACCATACCAAAAAAAAATATACATCTAGTTCATTCGGCAACCATCTATCAAGATTCATTCCAAAAAGAGTCATATTCCTGTAAGGAAAACAAAAGAAACGGTGTGAGCTAATTGCCCAGTGAGATACTATCACTTACGCAACCAAGTGCATATAAGCATCAAACTTTCATTCAATATAGTAAAATAAGCAAAGGCACACGTCAAATATGGTGATAAAAGGATACAGATGGCTCTCAAGAGCCCTTTTCCTCGTTTGCATTTCTTGATCGAACGTCATTGACTCTCCGTCAATGTTCAACAATAACCAACTGTAGACTCCACTTTACTTCCATTCCTTCCACCTAACATTCCCCAACCGGACCCGAAATCCAAACACTTGCATTGTAGTATTACTCGAGTAAACCGGAATCGAGAGTCTCTCATACTACAAGATTCCATATAACATTGCCCCAAGGCACATTAATTGGCACGACTAAGCCCTCGCCAGTTCGATTCAATCAATTACCAATGGGGTTGAGCTCAAGGATAACAATTGTAGTCGTTGGACAGTCGTCCAAACGCCACCAAGTCATGTGTTTCATTTCATATAACATTTCATATAACATTCCAATAACTTTCCAATAACATGCGAAACAATAAGTGAGAGTGATAAAGTACACTCTCACTTCAATCAATTAACATTCAACATCTCAAGTTCAAGTATCAAAGTCATATAATAACACACAAGTGAGTAGTACACTCACCAAACTCGCAAATGTGGTTTCATGCACTTCCGTCAAAAGAACGTTGTGCACCATGGTCACGTCCTAAAACATGCAAACAAATACAATGAGACTCGATAACGAGTCATAAACCAAGGCCAAACATGACCCCAATAGGGTTCCATAAGCATATACAAACATTAAAGGAAACCAGAAATTTCGGAAATGTAACTAGTTTTGGCCCTGAAAAAAAAAACAGTTTTTGTCCTCATTTTGCGGTAATGGCACCAATTTCACTACGATTATCGGATGAGGGTACAAGACCCACCATTTCGAAGCTAAAAGACAGGGTTACAACATCACAGAAGGTCACTCAACCCAGTTTTGAGTGTAAACAGGTAAAAAATGCAAGATACTACATCAAAAACGTAAAACAGATTCACCAAAACGCATTCTAGCGGAAACCTCATAACTCAGGCTCTCCAAGTCCAAATCCAGAAATTACAAAACCACCTGAAAGCTAAGAAACAGGGCTAAATTTCATCAGAAGGCCTCAACAACCAATTCGGAAGTAATTCCAGCCAAAACAACCAATTACAGGCGCAATTCTTACATTCGGGTAAAACTAGAACAGCAATAGTAATTTCGACTTTTCTCATTCTACACTACTCCGATTGACCTGAAATTTTGTAGGCACCTCTAAAATGTCATTCTATACAGCTTTCATGTTTTAAGCTAAGGCTAATTCGGCCTCTAACTAGGAGCTAAAAATTCGGGCAGAATGCTCCCTCAAGAACCCTAATTTTCTGAAATTTCTTCCAAACCAGAAATTGGTTGCAATTAATCACTTTTTCCACCTCCTAGAGTCATTATATACCATTTCTAATCATCATAGATAGCCACACAATCATGCTTATATTAAAACAGAAAAAATCCCCAAAAATAATAAAACTTCATTACTTCAACCACAAATCAAGAAATAACCCATAAACTTGCATCTCATACTACCACTAAGCATGATTTAAGCATCAATTAAGGGAGGAGGGTGGTTCTTCACAACTTACCTTAAAACAAGAGAGAGAGATCTATTGGACACCTTAACTTTCCAAATAACTTCACACAACAACTCACCAACACCTCCTTAAGTGGTTTTATGGAGCAAAATCAAGGTTGGATGGTTGGTTTTGATGATTTGGAACAAGCTTGAAGAGTTTTCTTCCTTGTGCTTAGAGTAAGAGAGAGAGAAAGAGAGGGCCGGCTACCATGGAGGATTTTTTTGATGATTTTTGGGTCATTTTTGGTTTATTTAAGTCAAATGGTAAGACCATGAATAGTGGTCTTAAGGTTCAACCACTCAAATGGTGACACGTGTCACTTCATTTAATGCAAGTCTATCACTTTGTTTCCTCTCACACCAATCCAAATTGTAACCTCTACTTATCTCTTAACACCCGGTAAATTACATCCAATATCCAAAACTTAACTTAGTTGGTTGAATTTTTTTCGAACTTTTCACACTAGTGGGTCCCACGTCCGGTATACGCTCTTAATTTCTCAAAATCCATTCGATACTAGAAAAAACATCTAAAAATTACATCTGCTCCTTAAATTCATCTAGAAATTTTTCTAATCACGAAAATGTAAAAAACAAGCCATGAAAAATATATAATCTAGAAAATGAAAAATACGGGTTCTCACAAATGTGCTTTACAAAATGATTTCCAAAATCCTTGCCAATAGACTGAAAAATGTTTTGAACCTCTGTATAAGCAAAAATCAAGCTGCTTTTGTTCCAGGAAGACAGATACTAGACAATGTGATTTTTTCACATGAATTTTTGCACCATCTGAAAAACAAAAGGCAAGGAAATGCAGGACTTGTGGCTTTAAAGTTGGACATGTCCAAAGCATACGACAGGATGGAATGGAGGTTTTTGGAGGCAATCATGGAAAAAATGGATTTTTGCAATAAGTGGATCAAATGGATCATGAGCTGTATCACCACAGTTACATATTCCTTCAATATAAATGGGGATCACAGAGGCTTGGTTACTCCTCAAAAGGGGATAAGACAAGGTGACCATTTGTCGCCTTATCTATTCCTTTTGTGCTCTGAAGGGCTGTCAAATCTACTTAAGAGAGCAGAAGATGGCAAGAAAATAACTAGAATGACGATCAGCAGAAGAGGACCATCAATCTCTCATTTATTTTTTGCTGATGATTCTCTAATATTTTGTAAAGCTGAGTCCAGTCAGGCTAAGGAGCTAATGTACTTGCTGAAGAGATACGAGGAAGGCTCAGGTCAAATGATCAATTTAGAGAAGTCATCTGTCTTTTTTAGTAAAAATATGTCCAATGCTAAGCAAGATGATATATGTAAGAAGCTGGGGAAAATACAAAAAGTCAGTCAAGGGAAGTACCTTGGTCTACCAATAGTGGTCACCAGAACTAAGGAACAGGTGTTTGTTTTTGTGAAGGATAATTGCCAGAAAAGAATAAACTCCTGGAAAAACAAATTTTTGAGTGCTGCTGGGAAGGAGGTGCTACTTAAGGCAGTGACTATGGCGATGCCCACCTATGCTATGTCATGTTTTAAATTGTCATCTAAGCTGTGTAAATACATTAGTTCCAGGATGGCTAGATTCTGGTGGGGTGAGAAAGATGGAAAAAGCAAACTGCATTGGTGTTCCTAGAAGAAGTTGGCTCAGGAAAAGGAGAATGGAGGGTTGGATTTCAAAGACCTGCAGAGATTTAACAGAGCATTGCTGGGGAAACAGGTGTGGAGACTCTTAACCAAACCAAATCTTTTAGTGAGTAAGGTTCTCAAAGCTAAGTATTACTCCAACGAGTCACTACTCAGAAGCAAAGTACCTAAAACAACCTCCTGGGTCTAGCAGAGCATTATGGGAGCAAGAGAGGAGGTGGAGGAAGGTATAAGGAGGAAGATAGGAAATGGGAGGAGCACAAAGGTATGGGACAACCAATGGATACCTGAAACTCCAAGAGGGCAGCCAACAACAGTACGGCCACAAAATTGCAACATCAGCACTGTGGACCAGTTGATTTCCAACTTCAGATGGAATAGACCAGTGGTTTTCAGCACTTTCAACAGTGAAGATGCAGGGAAGATACTGAAGATTCCTATAAGCTGGACAGGGAAAGAGGATAGCAATTTTTGGATCCATAGTGGGAGTAGACAATATATTGTGAGATCTGTATATAAGGAAATGACAAACAAGGAAGTTCAGGATACCAGTAGCAGGGGAAGTCTGGATAACCCAAGCGGGAGTTTAGGGGGCAGAATGGGATGGAAACATCTGTGGAACTTGAATGTCAAACAAAAGATTAAGGTCTTTATCTGGAAATGCATGAACAATGCGTTACCAGTTAGAGAACTTATCTATGACAGAACTAAGTTGGGTGAGCCTATATGTACAGGTTGTGGAGAAGGAGAAGAAACGGTGGAACACCTACTCTTCCACTGTAAGAATGCAGAACAAGTGTGGAACATATCACCTGTACAGTGGGAAGGGGCGGCTGACCAAAGGGGATGCTTTAGGAGATGGTGGAGTGCCCTGCTAGGTACAAGAGCTAGGCAAGGAGGGTTGGAGCACATATGCCTGACTGCTAATAGTTTATGGCACCTGTGGAAAGCAAGAAATGAAAGAGTCTTCAAGGAAAAGAACAAGCTACCTTTACAAGTAATACAAAAAGTTATGCAAGAATGGATGGAACATCGGGAAGCTATGGAAGGGATCAGGAAAGAGAGCATTGCAGAAACTTTTGATGCTGTGGACGAGTCAGAACACAACACAGTTGAGGGGGAGGGCATTGATGTACAAGTAGCTATTACTATCAAGAAGGAAAGACAAGTGGTGGGGATTGGAGTAATGGCAAATGACACCAATGGTCAGGAAAAAGCTATTGGGCTATGAGAGAGCGGAGCGCGGGACAATGGCTACTGGATTATGCAGAAGCTTTAAAACTGACCATGGCGAAAGCAAGAGAAAAATAGTGGTCCCATATAAGAGTGGGAATCACAGACCAACAGTTGCTAAGACAACTCAGGTCAGGAAAAGCTAAAGATATCAGGTTGTTCGCTCAGGTGGAGGAGATTGATAGACTAAGCTCCATGTTTGTACAATGCTTCTTTTATCTGGTTCCAGATGAACAACATGATAGACTTAGACAGATTAGTTCATATGCTACAAGCATTCCATTAGATGAGGAGCACTAGCTTCCTCCGTGTCTGTGTACACGATGTATAGGTGGATTGGGCCTTTGCCCATACTTTTGTACTCCCTCCATCCCATAAACTCTGTCGTGCTTGGGAAGCTGCGCTTTTTATGCACAGTAAAATCCACTTGTTTGTAAACTCATGGGTTCCAAATTTGCCCTTCATATTCACCGACAAACTCAAGAAATAAATGGGTCAAAGAGGGACCCATCAAAAGCATTCCATTGTTTCGGCTACTAAAAACAAAAACTCATTTCCTTATCAAAATCTTCTTTATCCAAAGCAAATCGGTCAAAATGGGACCCACCAAAAACCAATCCTTTGTTTCAGCCACAAAAACCGTTTCCTTATCAATTGCTGCCACAGAAACTGTTTCCTTCTTCTAGCAGACATTCATCACCGCCTACTACTAGAATCTTCTCTGATTCTCCATCGTTAGCCATTCTTCAATTGCTGCAAATTTAAGCTACGATAATTTCTCTGGAATAACTACAAATTCCCTCTTCTCATACTCCAGATTCACTTGAAAGTTTTCACCTTTGATTACAATATTGGTGCTCCAGTTCAAGAGAGAAGCATTGGAAGGATATGAAGTTGATTGCTAATCCATAGTTGATAACAAATGAGATTAAAAGGTTAGTTAACTGTCTTTTATTCTTTCTTTTTAATGGTTTTTTTTCTCTTTTCTCATGTAAGAAAGGCTGGATCTTTTAAACTTTTGTAATGTTTATTTATTGATTATTTTGTCTATAATTTCTTAAAGATTTACCGCTAAATTATTTACTGAAATTTTGGATTTTGGCGGATTACTTCAAAAAAAAAGTCTTGAAATGCGTATTTTAAAATATTTAATGGAATTGTACACTGACTTCTACCTCTATATATGCAGTCCGTTTGTTTCACTCTGTTTCTTTTTTTTTTTACACCATGTTTCAAAGGTGACTCTTAAAAGAAATATGGATACTTTTAATGATGTTGAAACTAATAATTCTACGAAGAGATTAACTAATCAAGAAAGGCAAATGATTTTTGAAGCTTTATTACAGGAAAGTAATGGCGGTAAATTGAAAAGGGGAACCATCAGGAACATTGCAAGCCTATTTAAAACAAGTGTTAGGACAGTTCAGAGAATTTGGAAGCTAGCAGCAATTACTTCTACAGATGGAAGAGTTGATGTATCACGCAGGTTTCCTAAAAGATGTGGAAGAAAACGAGTGGTTATTGATTTTACTTTGATCATGGCAATTCCTCTCCCGTGCCGGACAAACATCAGGTCACTTTCCAGTGAAATGAAAGTGTCCAAATCAACCCTTCACCGACAAATTAAAGAAGGTGCTATAAGGCCACACTCAAATGCACTCAAACCACAATTGATAGATCAGAATAAGCAAGTAAGGCTTAACTTTTGCTTGTCAATGCTTGAACCAGAAAGTCTCAACAGCAATCCAACATTTATGAGTATGTTCAATGTTGTGCATATTGATGAAAAGTGGTTTTACATGACTAAAGAATGTGAAAAATATTATCTTCATCCTCAAGAAGAAGAACCTCTTAGGACATGTAAGAGCAAAAAGTTCATTGTGAAAGTTATGTTCCTAGCTGTTGTTGCTCGACCACGTTTTGACTGCTCTGGTAACCCAACATTTGATGGGAAAATTGGGATTTTTCCTTTTGTACTCAAAGAACCAGCAAAGAGGAGTAGTAAAAATCGTATGGCAGGTACATTAGAAACTAAGCCAATATTGTCAGTGACCAAGGAAGTATATAGGAGATGTTTAATTGAACAGGTTTTGCCTACAATACATGCTAAATGGCCACGGGATGGTGGTAGTGTTACTGAAATTTTGATCCAACAGGATAATGCAAAACCACATATTAATCCCACTGATCCTGTATTTATTGAAGCTGCTTCTAGAGATGGATTTGATATTCACTTGTCATTTCAGCCTCCTAACAGTCCGGACATGAATGTTCTTGACTTGGGATATTTTAGAGCTATACAATCCTTGCAACATCAAGAAGCACCCTTGTCAATTGATGAGCTAATTCTTGCTGTGGAAAAGTCATTTGATCAATTATCAAGTGAAAGTCTAAACAATGTTTTCTTAACATTGCAATCATGTATGGTAGAGGTGATGAAAAATCTTGGGGGAAATAACTATAAAGTGCCACACATTGGGAAGCACCAATTAATGAAAGAAAGTTGTCTTCCACTGCAAATAGAATGTGAAAAAGAACTTGTGAATCAAGTTCTAAGTCATATGCAAGCATGATTATCTTCACTGGACAGGTAAGATTTTATAAAGCTTTTTTGTTTTTTAAGATTTTTTATCTCTGATTTCTTGTGTGTATGATTGTTTAAACTAACTAGTGTTCCTTATTTTCATATTTGTAGGTACTTAAACTTTACTAATCATGTGTTTTGAACAAAATGGTATGGGTGTTCTAATGTGCAAAATGTACATGCACTCAATGTTCATTTGTCTAGCTATTCTTGTTCACTTTGCTCTGGAGCATCTTTATTTGTTGTTTATCACTAAATTGTGTCCTATCTCATCTTTTGGCAGATGGTTGAAGTCAAGCAATCCAACCCTTTTGATTTTGTGGTGCAAGCTTTTGATTGGGCAAAGAATATAGAAGCACTTTTATGTACTAGTGGTTTTTCATTGACTGCTTTTATTTCACTTTACAAGATTTTAGAATAGCTCAGTAAAGTTAGCTTGACGTTAGTAGTAGTAGTGCTGATTTTTGTACAAAAGGGAAAATGTGCAATGCTGAGTGAAGCTATGTACATGTATAAACATTGAAACACTACTTTTGTTGGAGTTTTTGAAACTGTCAATAGCATTATTCTATAAAGTGGAAATAGTGCATATTGGTTTGCATTCTTTTGCTATTTGGTGGTAGAATATCTGTTTTTACATTTTTGAGTTTTGAAACATTAAAAAAAAAAAAAGAGGAACTGACACTTCCATAGACTACGTTTAAATTAAATTTGGTAGCGAGTGTAGTTTTTTTTCTCCAAGTAGAGTAACATGCCTTATTATTTTGCTCATTTAGTTTTTGGGTCAATCTAAAATTATTCACCTATTTTTTACACTATTTTCTTGCTTTCAATATGAATATATTTTGTGAAAGTTGATCATTCTTAACAAATTAGTGCGTATGAAAATAATTTAAAAGTTGAAAGCTTTCAAAAGAAAATCACTAATTAAATCATCTCGATATTCTATTTCCTGCAAAAAATCGAAGTGATCCTCTTGATAACAAAACCAGTTTTCAATTGAAGTTTAAAAGGGCCAAGTGCACATTCTTGATGATGAATTTGGCTGGAGTCGGAACTTTGTTGCTGGAGCCGAAAGTCAAATATGGTACAAGTTGGAATATTTGAATATCCTTTGGGACCACACATCAATTTGTGGGTCAACTAGCACATGCATTATCACACCATTAATGGAGGGCAGAAATGGAAATTCATAGCTTAAAATAGTTTGAAATGTCAAACATGACAAATATTTTGGGATAGCCCAAAAAGGAAAGTATAACACTATCAATGGGACGGAGGGAGTAGTTTACAATGTTTATCAATACAACCTTCTAACGTTTCCGAAAAAAAAAAAGCTAAATCCCAAAACTCTAAATATACTTATAATCAATAATTCTATTGCTTTCTTGAGGGCCAATAATGGTAATTCATCACTTAAACTCTAACTTTCTTTTTGGTTTAGTAAATTTTTGTGTTAGTATAATATCGGCTACTTCTTATGCGAAGTTGTTAGATTCTTGGTTTAACTATCTCAACACTGCTAATATGTCACCTGAATGTTGACTCATTCCTTTTAGGGATAATTTCAGAAACCTCCCCTGAGGTTTCTGACATTTACACTTACTTCCCCTGTGGTTTGAACAATTACACTTACCTCCCCTGAGGTTACTAATCCTTTACAAATTCAGTCCAAATGATTAAAATATTATTTTAAAGAGTGAAATTAGAATTTTGTACCTGATTTGTCCTTTGTGCCACATGTCCAATGAATGGCAAAGTATTACAAATTAATTAACAATTAATAAACTTTAACGAGCGTAGTTTATTGGCAAATACGTATTGCCTATTTAAAGTACCAGCTCTTTACATGAATTTTATTTTCAAACATTTACTTTATCACAAATATTTATTCTCAAATACAGATTTGTATTTACTCTCAAATATTTAATTTTTGTTAAATACAAATCCTACCAGTTTTTCTTCCGTAGAAATATTAATATAACATTTTTTCAATTTCAATTACAAATATTTATGTATTTAACATAAATTAAATGATTCAGAATAAAATACTCATAAAGAGCTAATACTTTACTCATGTAATGGATGAAAACCATAAAAAATTAACATTTTATAGGCCATTTCTTTTTTTTTTTAACTCAGGGGAGGTTTCTGAAATTATCCCTTCCTTTTATAATAGCTACTTGTATTTTGATTAAACATACATGGGTAGTTTCAATGACAAGGCATGCCTTTTATATACTCCACTAGTTTAAACTCTACCTGAATTAACCACCATCATTTCTTGGTCTATTTTCTTCTTTCTTGTAACTCATGAGACAAATTAATTTGTTTACTTCTATTTGGATTCAAAAGTTGTATTTCTATTTAAATCTGGTCGTTGTGAACAAAGGGAGTGGACAAATTTTAATATT